TGGGGCAAAATCAGTACTTGGTCCTGCTAGTGAAGGCAGGGGGCTGGACTCGATGACCTTTCAAGGTCCCTTCCAGTTCTAGGAGATGGGCTATCTCCATTTAAAAAAAAAACAAAAAATTACATGAAAACACAAATTGTCAACATCATATGTCAAAATATACAGAGTAAATATCTTTAAATCAGCAAATCATACCCGTTTTTACTTTTCATTCACTAGTTTGTAACAAGCCTTATTCAAAATTCAGTGGATTCTGACTCAAGTTCTCAAGCAGCATTTTTCTTACTTTGCATTTCTGTACATTTCAGTTATTATTGATGGGAATACCTTTTCATTGGTTTGTGTAAGTTTGGTGAAATAGATGTTTGCAGATATTTACTGGTAAAAATGGAATTAATCAAAACCTCCTTATGTAGAGTTTTGTTAAAACAATAGTCTGTATTATAGCAACCCAAAAAGTATTATTCTGATGTGATGGAATTTCACCCCTGTGAAACTGGCCCATTTCAGATATGGTTTAGTTTGTTTATACTGCTGCTTGAGCATAATATGTTTAATATGTTGACATGCCTTTTTTTTTAATACAATGACTTTACCCCTTTCTTTTGATTGTCAGGCTGAATTCCCCCGGCTTCCTCAAGATTTGAAAGGAGAGACATTTTCTCATGTGTTTGGAACGAACACTTCTAGCCTGGAACTTCTCTTGATGAGTAGGAAGATCAAAGGACCAAGCTGGCTGGAAATAAAAAATCCACGTATGAGGATTTGCATGTCAAATACTTAATAGATTGCTGAAAAATAAATTTGGAAGGGAATGGTAGATGAGTTGATCAGTACAGTTCTATCTTGTCAAATGTTTTAGATTAGAAGTCCTTGAGGGCAGTATTATGAGAAGTGATGTTTTTAGATTTCATAAACAGGACCTATTAGAAAGCCGTTTATTCTGAGAGGCAAGCAAGGTTTGCCTATTTGGTCTATTTTCACTGTTGACCACTCTTGAGCTGATTTCCTTCTTTGCTTCCTTCACCCTCCCCCCCCCCCCCCCCCCAATTCTGTACTCTCTGTTTTGTGCTCTTTGTGACTTGATCCTTCAGAATGTCATTTTTTTATACAAAAAGGTATAGCCTGTGGGCAACGGCACCACAGTAGTAAGGTGACTGGGCTTCTTGTGATACCCCCTTAAAGAGGAGTGGGAAAGAAAAACTTGATTTGATTCTGTGACCGAATTTCTAAATGGTTCTGAGTGTCAGTTTAGCTCCAATAATGCCACAGTGTAAAATGTTACAGGAATTTAGGCAATCGCCATGCTTGGCTTAAAGACAGTGTTTGATCATAAGTGTTTAATTTTAACTTTACTCTGACTTCTGGAACTGTTTCTGGATAATACCCAGTACAAATTACTCCATCAGTAGTTTACACAAAATGACATGGTTGAAAACACCCCGTGTGCTTTCAACTTTGGTCATTGTTTGAGTGTTTGTCTATGGGGATCCCACTCAGTGTGCAAGTGCACCTAATATACATTCAGAATCTTTGAATATTAGTGTCTCTGGAGCCATGCCTGCTCCCTCCATGTCTTTCATGCTTCCAGCAACCCCAGGGCATAAAGGGCAGAGCAGCTGCAACCATCTCTTAGTTCCCTCTTACCAGCTGTGGCAGTGAGATGGAACCAGGCATTCTGCCTGCTGCCCCTTAGTCTATTCTCAAACTCTGTCCTTATCTAGCTTATTAGGGTTAATTCCTTAAATATCTCCCCTGTTTTCTTTAATTTTTTCTTTATGTTTATACTTTATTTAAAAAAAAACCTTATTTTCTCTCAGCACTTTGTGCCACAACCACTTAAAATAGCAGTTTCAAATCCTGCCCACCTTGTGACTGGCTTATTCCCCATCCAGACAGTTTGTTTTTGTCTTGGTGAGAGCCTTCTGCCTAATTGATGCTCCATCTGCCAGTTGTCCCTTCTCCAGAACAAGAAAATCGAGAGAGGCTAAAATTGTGTCTTATAGAGCAGCCTGTGAGGCATTTCAGACCCACAAGAATGGGCATGGAGCTCCAAGATGGGACTTTCCACCTCTTAGTCTGTGTGCTCCCATGACATCCAGGATGCAACGGCAAAGGTTGGTATCCATAAGAAGTCAAATCTGGGACCAACTGGCCATAAAGACATGGTAGCCAAAGACAAGCTCAGCACTGTTAGCTGATCCAGCAACAAAGACAAGTACTGCCTCTTCCACACTGAGGTAAGGTAGATCAGAGCATTGGATCAAACATGGTACCTGGTACTGATCTTACTTCCTTGAGAAAGGAAAAGTTGAGAGGCCTCAAGGAGAGCTATTTCCTTTACACTCAGTTCTTTGGAGGAGAGTGAAGTCCTCTCGTACTAAAGGGGCAAGTGACACTGATTCAACTTTCTTCTTGGCACTGAAGGGCTCTGAGGCTTCTCTGGTCCCTGCATTTGATACAGATTCTTTTAAACTAAAAATTGAAATACTGACACTGTCAACTGAGGAACTAACTGTTGTTCTGGTTATTGCATTATTGGTGATGGAAGTTCTCTTTTTTCCCATACCATTTTTTCTACTGAGTGTACATCATCTGGCACTGATTCAAATGGCTAAGCTCCTGGTACAGACCTTGCCTGAGAGATCAGCACTGCAGATAGAGGAGACCTTTTCCTGACCATACTTTCTTCCCCGGCCAGTGCTGCTGGGAGCCTTCACCTCATCACTCTCCAAGATCAGGAGATGATTTGTTCCTCCAGACCAGAATCCCTCATTTCAGAGCCCCAGCTTACCCACCATGTGGATGGCAGGGGCCCAGCCAACTGTATTCTAACTAACCTGGTTAACCATATGCATACAATTTTCCACTATGCCAGTTTAGGCTTACTAGGGTGCTTTTAGAAGTGGGTCTCCTTCCCGATTGTTGCACAGATGTAGGTCTCATTCTCTGGTGGACTCAGTTTCAAGACCTCCCGTGGAAGTTCTCAGGGATGGGAGTGTATAAAGAGGAGTTAGGTCCTGAACCTCTGGTCCAGTATCCTTCAACTTCTCCCACAGACCCATCATCATCATCATCATGTCCTGAAAAGGCAGACTCTTTTGCCCTCATACCAGCTCCAGATGATTTCAGAACTTTTCAAGAGCTGGTATCTTGAATTGTTGATACCTTGGAGATTGAGACCTCAGTGATTGTGGGAAAGGCCCATCAATTATTTGCTTTCCTCCTCTTTTGGGCAGTTTAGCAAGGTCTATAAATGAAGGCATTTTGGAGCCAGCTAAAGATATCAGGGCCCTGATATCCTTGCCCAACTGCAAAGCAAGTGGGGGGGAAAAAAAGATATTAAGTTTCATAGAGGGGCTTTCAAACCATTCTGTATACCTCTGACCCCGGTGTCTTTTGTAGTCCCTGTGGCATAGGAGAAAGCTAGGCAGCCTGGCCTACCACATGCTACTTCTGAAGATAAGTCTCCAGAAAGCTTGATCTCATTTGAAGGCAAGCTTACGCCTGCACTTTGCTCCAACTACTCATAGCAATTACTTAGCATTGTTCACTAAGTATGACTTTTTGGCATGGGACCAGGTTATCTTCCTCTGTGAACAAGCTTCCTCCAGAAGCTAAGGAGGAATTAAAGTCTGTAATCTTTGAATGGCAACTGGTGGCAAAATCATCTCTACAAGTGGCTATGGATGTTTTTGATACTGCAGCTTGATCTGTGGCTTATGGCAGCTACAGTGGAGAGGCTTTATGGCTTGAAGTGTCAGGCATCACAAAGGAGATACATAACACCTTAAAGGAATTGCCCTTTGAGAGGGCAGATTTATTTTGCAGTTGAACAGATGAAGTCTTGCATTCCTTGAAAGACTCCAAAGCCACATTGACATCTGAACAACTTGCATATCAGGGCCATGGTTTAAATACCCAGAGATTTCAATCCGAGTCCACCTATTTTCAACAATGGCCTCCTGATTATCCTCTGAGGATGAAACCCATGTGTACTCAAAGGAGGCCACCTGCTGCAGTCACCAGCCACTATGACTTCATTGAAACAGCATGTTTAACAAAAAGGTTAAGAGTCATAACCTAGCCAGACTAGAACCATCCCTGAACCCTATCTTTGGATGCCATCTTTTCCTATTTTGTCATGTTTGGACTGGAATAGCCAACAATAAATGGGTACTAGAAGTCCTCTTCTATAGGTACATTATGCAATTCCAGTCTGTGCCTCCTCTCCCCCATCCATCTGCGGTGACCCTTCTTCTGAAAATCAACTGAAAGAATTAGCGGCCTCCCTGCTTCTCCTCGGAGGCATAGAGGAGGTGGAATTTAAAAAAAAAGATGCCTGATGTTTCCTTACTGTGAAGAAAAAATGGGATCTTTGTCCTATCCTCAGCTTGAGAGAACTGAACAAATTCCTGAGATTCAGAATGGTAATGTCAGCCTCCATCATCCTTTGCTTGCAGGCTTAAGACTGTGTTGTGGCTGTCTACCTTCAAGACACATGATTCCATATTGCAATCCAACCAGCCCAGAGGATATATCTGCAATTCACAGGAGGGTCCAATCGTTATCAATACAAGGTACTGCTGTTCAGCCTCTGTACAGCACTGAGCGTCCTCCCAAAATATTTAGCTCACTTTTTAAGAAAACAAGGCATATGTCTGTCGATATCTAGATGATTGGCTGATTGGTGGCGGGTACCATCAGAATGTTGCTACAACTCTGAACTTTGTCCTCCACCTGTTTAGAGAGCTGGACCTTATCACAAACTACAACGAATCATCACTCAGCCCATTGCAGACAATAGAGTACAAATCGGCAAAGGCATGCTTTCTAGAAGAGAAGTTTCTGTCTATCTAGACAGTCTTTTCCAACATTAAGATAAATCAATCACTCACAGTAAGAACCTGTCTCCAACTGTAAGACTGCATCAGCTTTCACTTATGTGATGCCGCTAGCCATCACCTATGTGTGTTACATCCAATATCAGCCAGTCCCGTATCAACCTGTGGAACATCAAATGGACGTATTTGTTGAAGTTGTAGCTCATGTATTTGGTGACTTCTAAATTCATGGACAGATGCTCAGAATCTTCAAAAAGGGGCCCCTCACCTACAAAGGCATTGATTACACACTCCTTAGGAACTGGTTGAGGTGCTCACCTGGACCATCTTCAGACACATGGGATATGGTCCCAGAAGGAGATGAGTCTCCTCATAAATGTCCTAGAATTCCAAGCAATCAGATTAGCTTGCAAAGCATTGCTCCTGGCTTTAAAGAATTTCACTGTACAGATCAATTTATGATGTAAACCAGCAGGGAAGTGCCCATCCTTTGTCCTTGTGCCAAGAAGCAATCAGATTATGGACATGGTATAATGGACAATTGCTCTTCATCTTTCGGGAGCCAACAACAATTTAGCGGATTTTCTCAGCAGACAATGTATCACCTGTCATGAATGGCCTCAGCAGAGCTCCCTTCTCAGACCAATATTTCAGCAGTGGGGAAATCCCATTCTATGCTTAGTCACCATCCAAGAGAACACAAAGCGTATGTCCACACTCCTAGCCCGGGTGGACAGGCTCTCAGTAGTGGGGCTCAAGTTAGTGCCCTAAAAATAGCAGTGTGGATGTTGGTGCTTAGGCTTGCAGCTCAAGGTCTTAAGCCTGGATGGTTGGGTGGGTTTGAGAGCCTGAGCTGCAATGTCCACACTACTATTTTTAGCATGATAGCCCATGCCCTGCTTGCATGAGTCTCTCTACCTGGGCTGGGACTTGCTCCCAGCTGCAGTGTAGACACTCCCAAAGTGCCCAGTCTTCTTTGTTTCAAAGGGGGTCAGAGCCCAGGATCCATGCAAGACACCTTTCTCATATGGCGCAATCGAAGTCTCCATCTCTCTAATATCCAGGATTATATGGAAAGTCCGAATGCAGCAGATCCCGATAGTTCCTTGTTGGCTGAGGCATTTTTGGTTAATGGGTCACTTCCAAATGTCAACTCAGCCTCCAATAGCAATTCCAAACTGTTCAGAAATAATGTCACCGAACAAAGGTCACATTGAACCCGGACTTGAAATTGTTGCACTTGACAGCTTGGATGTTGGCTTGTTAAGTGCCACTGACCGAGACTGTTTGTTCTATGTACAAGAAATCCTATGGTGAAGCAGGAGTCCCTAGTGAATAATGAAAAATCTACTCCTCGGAGGTGAAAAGATTTTCTTTTTGGGCAGCCCAGCGCAGCCTTGATCTGTTGGAGGTTCCTGTTACCAAGATCCTTGATTATATCATCCATCTATATTTTTCTGGATTCTCGTTCAGTTACAGTCCCACCTTGCAGCAATTCCGGCATGCCACCCACCCTGAGTCATGTTAGTCTTTTTCCTACTCTACTGCATCCAGATTTTTAAGAGTTGCTTCCCACTGATTTATGGAGCCACCTCCCGAATGGGATCATCATAATGTCCTTTGAACCCTCTTCTGAATACACTATACCACCTTACTCTCAAGACAGCTTTTTATCATCCCCACTACACCAGACAGAAGAGTCAGTGAACTCCAAAGTCTCATGGCCAACCCTTCTTGCACAGCATTCCACAAAGATAAGATGGTGCTGAGAAGCCATCCTAAATTGATTCCCAAACTCGTTTCAGACTTTCATTTAAATTTATTAATCTCCCTTTTTTTTCTTTCCAAAACCACACCCTTACCCACAGGAGAAGAAACTTCATATTTTAGCTGTATTGAGGGTCTTGCTATGCTACCTGACTAGGACAAAGCCCGTTATAAACAATGCCCCTTCCTTTTTTGTTGTTATAAGTAGTGGTTCCAGAGGACATGCCATTTTCCCCCCAGAGAATATTTAAATGGATCACCTAGTGTATTTCATTCTTCTGTCCTATGGCTGATGTTCCTTTTCCTCTAAATACCACAGGTCATTTGACTAGAGCTCAGGCTTTAGCAGACAAGGAA